GTCCTAGGGGGATTTTTTATCTTTTGTTACTGAATTGGCTCTAAACCCATTTTCAGCCTATAGTCTTCTGGTTTTCATATTTGATTTCATCTAGTTTCTCTAATATATGTCCTTTATTTCTATCCAAGTGATAGAACCCATCGGCAAAGTCATTTCTCTCTGTGCCTCTCTTCTCTCTCTTCCTGTTCCTCTCTTTCCTCCTCTGGTCTCTTTGGTATCCATGGACTCTTATATATCTTTAAATATTTCTTACAAGTTCATGTTAAAAATTACAACATATCTTGGACTAGACAAGACAAAGGAGTGTCAAACCTAATTGTAGCTGATCAAGTGCAGAATATGTCTTCTTCTCTCTCTTTGTATCCTCATCTTCATTTATTTTATTTTATTATGTAGATTCAGATTGGTTATCTTTTCTGCGGATTTGACTTGAACCAACCATTGATACTTGATTTAACTTAATGTTAATTAAGATTCAGAATTATTAAATTTGACATCTCTACATATAAAAACTAATAGATAATTATTCATCATCCTACATAAAACTAGTTCCTAAAATAATCATGTCCACCTCTTATACGAAGCTCTTGATTCTTGTTTATGACAATAAAAGGCTTTAAACAATTTTAGAGTGTAATTGGGATCTTATGAACTTATAACATGAAGGATTTAACCACATATACTTGTTTTTTTAATTTCATCATCAGATTTTTCACTCAAAATAATATACAATGACCACCTTCTAATAGGCACTAGTGCTTAGGTTTCATCCTACTATTTCTGTATCAAGTTTTTCGTCATCATTTAATCTTTTTCGAAAAGTTTCCTTTAGCTTCAGAAGAGATAATTCTGTTTTCTCAGCCACTAACATCCAAACTTTATATTTCTTAATCTGACTTATTCCTTTTTCACAAAAACATTCAAATTTTCATTCGTTAAAATTTCTTCCCAATTTTCTTATTGAATCTTAAATAGTAACATGGTAAAACTTTTTGCACTTTCCAACCAAGATCAAGTATAAACTGATTTCTTAACACCTTCCTTGACACATTTTCCATTCTTTGACTAGTGTCTCTCATGATAAGTTTCCTCAAAGGGAGAATTGCATCATGATTTTTGAAAATTTTATGAAATTTGATCACAAATTTCGAAGTCTAAGATATTTACAACAAAATGGTCAAAACTAAATAATCTTTGATTTCTTTTCTTTAAATAAATCGTAGGAAGCTTTGTTAACAATTCATTTGATCATAATTCTATTCAGAACATTTTAGACAATATTTTACTATCCCACTCAGAAATATTTAGGAAAATTATTATTTGCCAACATGAAAATTGAAATTTTTAATAGTGTTCTATTCTTCGTGTAAACTATATTGTGTTATATCATGATCTTGACAATAGTCTACAAACCTGTAGGCAGTAGAGAGTTCTATAAGAAACTACCATTTTCATTATTTCTAGGAACAAAATATAACTATCTAGATAGACAATTCAAAAAGATTTCATGCTCGCTGACTAAGAAGAATGAAGTTCAATAAGCTTTCTCGGTACTAATGATCTTCCGATGGATATTCATAACCGCCTACAAGGGGTTTCCAATTTATAGGCAGTGTGTGACAGAAAGTCAAATTTGCATCCATCAGTCCACAAATGAACTTCACTTAGATCCGGTCGTGATCATCCTAGTGCACACGTGTATGCATAAAACCTAAACAAACCATTTCCCGACAGAGATAACCATGTAAATAAGAGTAAGTAAATAATGTTATCGAGCAACTCCAAATAGAGAAGAGAAATACAAAGGAAAGAAGAAAGCACAGAGATTGATCTAGAAATAATCTTGTAATTCCGTTGACTGCACCTAGGTGACAAGGGAATCAGAGATGAGAAATACAAAGCGAGGAAAAAACAGCGGGATTAGACTATACCAGAGCACGGAGTTGTCCTAGTTTGGGCTGTAGAGGGGTGGGTCTCTAGGCAGAAGGTGAGAGAGAGGACAGCGGTCTCTGCGAGTGGGCCGAAGAATAATGAGCTTATTTTATCAAGTCGACGGGATCGGACTCCCCGTTTGCATTCAAAGCCTAAGCCCGAAACGAAGGTGCGCGCGCCAAATTTCAAACGGTCCGTGCTGAAATTCCTATGTTGGGCGGGGGCGGGGGCGGGGGCAACGGCTAACTACGCAGTCTGCGTAGATCTCGGCGAAACTCCACCAAGAGAAGGAAACCACTGCCCCTTCCATCTCGGAGAGCCGGTTTCTGGTCCTTGCATCTCGGAACCGAAAGGCGCTTGACACCCGCTAAAAAAAAAGGGTGCCCTCCATCCCCGTCTGCTCCTCACTCAACATCGGCGCTCTCAGAGAAAGGGCGAGAAGGAAGCGGGAACTAGGCTTGCGGGAGCGGCAGGGCTGGAAGTGGACGGTCTGAAGCTGATCCAGCTCGGGTTCTGCTTCTTCGGCGATGGCGGACGGCGCCGGACCTGGCAGATAAGCTTCCGCGACTTCGACGTTGACTCTCCGGCGGATGCGCGATCGATGCCTCGGTGGAGCTGCTGAAGAGGAGCGGCATTGATTTGGGCAGGACCAGAAGAGAAGGGGTCGACTCGGAGGTCCTCTCCGAGTTACTGCGGAGATGCGATTTGGTGGGACGGCGCAAGCCCCGGTGGGTCAAGTTCCAGGGCCTTTACGACGTGGCGTACCAGGTGAAGCTCCTCACCGGGGCGCCGTTGCTACCGACGGTCCCCGGGTTCGCCAGCTGGTCGGGGCCACCCTCGGCAGGGTCATCGACGTCAAGTACCTGGCCAGGTTCTGCGGAGGGTTCCACCTCGGCCTGGCCCGGCTTGCGGAGACTGTCGGCGTGAAGCTGGAGGGCGGCGCGGCGCACCAAGCCGGCGTTGACGCCCTGCTGACAGCATCGGTCTTCGAGGTTCAAATGGAGCGACTATGCGGGCGCGAGGAAGAGCTGGAGGGCATCCTCCACGGCATAGAAGAGGAGAGAATCCTACCCCAGTGCTCCGAGGAAACACAGCAGGAGGAGGAGGAGGAGGAGGAGGTCTTCCTGATATGCCCTCTCCACTCGCCGTCTACGCTGTTCTTGACTCCTGCTGCAGTGTTCCCGTCGATGTTAATCGGGATGACCGTTCCACTTCCTGATACTATGTGCTCGAATAAAATTCTTTTGAAGACTGTCCAAGCAAATTGCTCCAAAGATATGTGTTATGAAGCCAAGTATAGTCGATTAATCCTCAAATATAGTTCTAGAGGCCCCATTCTTAGCTCTATTTTTCTTAAAAACTAATCTACGTGGAGAATAAGAGAGAATCACAACGAGAGAGAGAGAGAGAGAGATCCTCCCACTGTCGAGTCCATCAGAAAATTGTTATTTATACATATAGAAGTGGAGACTACCTCCCATCCTCGCAAAGTTCCTGCACCCTTGTCTTCGGTGTTGACACTGGGAATATCGTGCAGCTTTCAGAATTTTCTTCTGTCGACGAGGAGTCGCCTTACTGAAGGAAAAGGACAGACCAACCAAGGAAGAAGGCTCCCCCCCCCGCCCCCTTCCTCCCTCTTTTGGTGGAGGAAAAGGGGAAGAGAGTGCTCAGGGAGGGGGCACGTTGTTCATTTGCTCTTGCAAACTTGAGTTAGATCGAATTTGACCGACGTAAAAATTTCGTTATATGACGAGTAGTTGACGTGTTAGCAGATATTAATGAACAGCCCATTGTGTCTGGACCGAAAAACAAAAGGGCCACTTCATTTTCACCAAACTTGCCAAAAATGTGCTGAGAAAATAAAGCCTTGAAAACGCACCTTTGCACGGATTCCAAATGTGTATCCCCCCAAGAGTCACCATCGCTTCACGCCCAAGCTAGCGGAAAACCGAGGCTCCGCTGACTTTTCTTTCTCTCTCTCTCTCTCTCTCTCTCTCTCGCTCTTCTTTCGCTCAGTAAATGTTCAGACCAGCAGAGAGAGAGAGAGAGAGAGAGAGAGGGTCTGACTGAACGTACGAGACGCACCAATTCGGGGATACCTCGGCAGGGAGCGGCTCAGTTCCCCTCCGGCCTCGTGGACCATGCACGCTTCACCGTGGCGGCATGTTTTTACCTTGTTCGTCGCCGTACACGACGGCGTTGGCGGCGGCGGCAATGTGGAAGACGAGATGCACCCCACTTCCCCCACGCCGTCTCTTTCTCCGCCGCCTGCTTTCCAAATACCTGGCTTTCAGGACGCACAGGCGGCATTTGTCCCGTAGCGGACAAAAATGTCCCCAAATAAATTCAAATATGGAATAAACTATAAATTATTTACTATCTTATCTCTAAACCGAACGGGTTGACTTTTAGTATATGGACGTGGAGACTAAATCACTGCCTGAAATGGTCCTTATCCAGGCCGTCCCGCAGCCACTAAGCAGCTCATATCGACCCCATACTCAGGTGGGGGCCGGCTAAAGGATCATGTTTCCTCGCAGCTAGACACCTGATTGGAGGGTAGAGTTATAGTAGCCGGAAGATGAGCGGGAAAAGCACTCGAGTTCATTGATAATTAGTGGAACTTTGAGGGGTCAAAAGACAATTACGCCTCAACATTTTAGGGACGCGCTTCAGTCATTTAGACGTGGTCGAGAACACGTGGCGCTCACCAACGGCCAGAAACGACGTGAAGCACGTGATAGTCGCCCTCAATTCAACCTTCCTTCCTTCCTTCTTCGAAGAAGCCCTCTTTCCCTTTCTCTCGGAAAAGCCGACACAGCCCATGGGGGCTTCCTCCCATCTTCTTCTGATTTTCCCCTTCGCGGCAGCCTCCTCCAGTCCAGCCATGGAGGCGCCGCCTCCCTCTCCTTCCTCGAATCTCCTTTCCGCTCCCTATTTAAGAGCCCCTAACTTCTCCCTCCATCTGCCACCACAACTCCGGCAAAAAATTGCGATACGCCCATCTCGGAATCCCTTCCTTCCTCCCTCCCAACCGAAGTAGAAGACGGTGAAAGCTCGCCGGAAATATGGCGAAGAACGGTGGCGCAGCTGCGGCGCGGCTCGGCGGCGTTTTCGAGGACCACCTGCCGGTGATGGCGGAGAGGATGGGCGGGCAGGCGCTGGTGGAGGAGCTCTGCGGCGGGTTCTGGCTGCTGGCGGATCCGGCGAGGGGGCTGATAACGTTGGAGAGTCTGAAGAGGAACGCGGCGGCGATGGGGCTCGGGGGCTTGTCGGAGGACGAGCTGAGGGCCATGCTCAGGGAGGGGGACGTCAACGGCGACGGCGCCATGGACCAGATGGAGTTCTGCGTGCTCATGTTCCGGCTCAGCCCCGAGCTCATGGCCGAGTCCCGAAGGGTCGTCGGCGAGGCCATCCGATTTGACCTCATGGCTCACAAGGGCTTCTCCTAATCCCCCCCCTCCCCACTCCCCACACTATTTCCTCTCTCTTTCTCTCTCGTACCCAGATGAAGGGAAAGCTTAGATCTTGGAACGGCTCTGCTTTGGAAGTTCACCGATCAATACAAGAGAAAAAAGATACCGAAAATTTCTCACGTTTGAGGGTATATTTCTCGGACATTCTCCGAGAAGTGGATATGGAAACAAATATCGGCAATTATTTTCTAACAATTACCATTCATTTAATGCCCAAGTCAAAGACTAGACCGGTGCTTAGGAGAAAAAATCTATTAACTAAAAGACAAAAAACAATTAATGAAAAAAAATATTAATTTAATAATTGTGGGCATCTTGGCAAGACGTGCCAGGTTGGAGGAGGGAGGGAGTCAAAGCCCAAAACTCGAGGGTTTGACCTCGCCAAGTCGCACATAAACGCGGTTAGTCTTAGGAAGTTAATGTTCCCTGACCATAAATTAAGCGACCGTTTAATGTTAGCACTCATTTTGACCAACCGAGAAACGCGGAGGCGTTGACTTTCACGACGTTGACCTGTGCTTCCTGTCTGAAAACTGAGACATTGACACGGGGGGGTGGTGATTATATAGTCAACTGACGGCGATAGATGGTGAGTGCTCCAATGCAACGTCGCACTTTGCGGTGGCGTAGCGACCTTTTGAAATTTGCCTACGTGGCCTTACGTCAGGCTACCGAAGACTTTGGATAAAAAAAAGAAATAAATCGTTTGCGAAAATATCGTGTTGTGTTAGGTAGCCAGAAGAGCTCCTTCCTGCTATTAGATGAATACGCCACGCGTCGGGACTGATGAAGCCATTAGGACTTCATCTTCCACGGAGGATTGTGACCGTGAGCTGGTTCACGGTGAGAGACTCCTCCACGCGGGTGTAGACCGATGACGAATTCACAGGTCTCCTCTCGGTGGCGGCGACGCCCGGCTGCTTCGGCGGCGGCAGCGCAGGGCCGGCACTGCCGAGCATCGTCACCACCGTTGCCATATTCGGCCGGTCCTCGGCACGCTCCTGCACGCACAGCAGCGCCACCTGCACGCATTTCGTCAGCTCCGGCGGCGAGTAGGAGTTCGCCATGGCCTCGTCCACCAGCGGCGAGCAGTCCCCCTCTGTCCACAGCTTCCAGGCCTGCAAAAGCTTCTCCCACCATTGTTAGGGCGCTGCTCCTTGGAAGGAGGGGGATGGAGGAGAGTGATGGGGGAGGGGGGCGTACGAGCTGAGTGATGTTCATGAAGGAGTCGTCGTAGTAGAAGCCCTTGTTCCGCTTGCCGCTGATGATCTCCAGCACGAGAACGCCAAAGCTGAAGACGTCGGACTTGATGGAGAAGGCGCCGTGCATAGCGTACTCCGGCGACATGTACCCGCTGCGCCGCGAGCACAATGTTAAAAGGCCGCTGGCGAGGAAGACCCACAGCAGAGGGAGATACGTACTAGGTACCAACGACTTTGCAGGTTTTCTCTGCGCCGCCGTCCCTGTCGCTGCGGAAGGCCCTCGCCGCGCCGAAGTCGGAGATCTTGGGGTTCATCTCCCTGTCGAGGAGAATGTTACTGGCCTTGAGATCTCGGTGGATGATTCTGAACCTCGAGTCCTGGTGGAGGTACAGCAGGCCCCGAGACACCCCGACGATGATATTGAAGCGAGTCGGCCAGTTCAGAAGGGTGCTCTTCTCGTTGTCTGCTCAAGCGGGGAAAGCAGTATAAGAAGGGAAAGATGCTGCTTGCTCGACTCCCTGGAACTGAAAACCTAGGAGGAGAAAGGGGGCGGACCGAAGATGATGGAGTCCAGGCTCTTATTGTGCATATACTCGTAGATAAGGATCCGCTCGTCGCCGTCAACGCAGCAGCCGAGAAGCCGGACGAGATTCCGGTGCTGGAGCTTGGCAATTAGCTGGACCTCGTTCTGGAATTCGGTGAGCCCCTGGACAGACGTCTTGGAGAGCCTCTTCACTGCGATTTCCTGCCCATCTGGCAGCTGACCCTGCATGACACGGCAGCCCATGACGGAGTCAACACCAGAGTTCTCTCCCCTCGCGTGAAATACGTCAAAGGATAATGGTTACCATCCTCTCTCGTGAGCACGGGTTATCACCTTGTAGACCGGACCGAACCCCCCCTCGCCCAGCTTGTTGTCCTCAGAAAACTCGTCCGTAGCAGCTGCGACTTGGTCGAAGAGAATCAAAGGCAGCTCGAGGTCGTCGTCGCCTCCTCCTCCTCCTCCTCCTCTGCCGCCGCCGCTACCTCTTCTCTGGCTCATATCCTCTCTGCCGACACCGCTATTTCTTCTCTGGCTCATATCCTCTCTGCCGCCACCGCTATTTCTTCTCTGGCTCATATCCTCTCTGTCGCCTCCGCCGAAGCCGCTATTTCTTCTCTGCTTCAGATCTTCTCCACCTACTTCGCCGACATCTCCATTCAAATCTAATTCAGTACAAGACTTGTTGTAACAAAAAGAATAAATCTTTGTTTATTGTCGTTGAAGGGTTCTCACAGTGATCGTTTGACCTCCTCCTCAAAAGGATGAACACGCCGCAGCCCAGAAGTATCAGCAAACCCCCGACGACCCCAACGCTGACGCTGACGGCTACCCTCTTCGTCCTGCTCCACCCGCCGCCGGTCGCTCCACCTTATCGACCATTAAAATAGGTCAACCAGACGAACCATAAAGATTATCTAATTGGGACTCGTATCCTCTTTGACGGAACCATTCGCTAATCTGTCCCAGTCTCCGGAAGCTGGTGGGTCAAGGCGATAAGGATGGAGCCTCTTGTGTGTATTTCCGGAAGCCCAAATGTCGGTGGGAACCCTAGGGGATGATAAAAATCGGGCAAGAAGAAAGTTTCTTCTTCGATGCCGTAAATTTGGATCTACGCAAAGGAAAATTCTCAACGAGAGAGCAAATATGGGTCTGATGTAAGCTGTACTCACCAAGGAGAGAAGCAGGCGTCCTCATGTACACATCCTGGCCGTCCTCCAAATAGTGTCTGAGATCGGTGAGCTCACCGACCCACATGATGCACCCGCTTCCGTCTCTGATGTCGGCGGCGGTGTAGGCGGCGCAGGAGCAGTTCCTCAGGCAGGCCTGCTCGCACTCCTCTATGCTCATGTTCTTGTACATGACCGCCTGCCACGCGTCCGGCAGTTTCATCCCGGACATGGGGACGAACCCTTCGCCAGTCCCGCATTCCAGAGGGATCTCCCTCTCACACCCGTCTGTGCCATCCCTGAGGGCCCAGTCCGTCGGCGACTTCGGCTTGAATCCAGCTAAGCAGCTGCAGACGGGGGATCTGTTGGAGTCGCAGACGCCGTAAGGGCCGCAGAAGCTGTAGCTGTCGCACTGGTCCTTGGGCGCATGCCAGTAGTTGTTCCACCGTTTTTCCAGCAGCACGAAGCGATGGAGCTGGCCGTAAGTGGTCACCACCAGCCTCGACACCAGCTCCTTTTTAACCAGCTCATAGGTGTAGTAGACCTCCTCACTATTGGCTACAAATCGGAAGGTGAAGATATCGTTAGACTTCATCTCCGGCACGCCGCTGAGGCGGACCCCGTTCCATGGGCCACTCCTGTACAACTTCGCCGTCTGGTTCATGAGGAACATCTGCGGCGATCCGTGGATGTTCATCCTGAAGGAGAAGTCCCCCGGTGACGGGTCGTCAGGTCCCTTCCAGGAGAGGAGGTACCGATCCAATCTCGTCTTTAGATTCCACCCGAGCTTCATCCCTGGCAGGAGAGTATCAGTGGGGTAATCGAAGCTCTGCCAGAAGAATTTCTCCTCATCCTTCTCGGCCTCCGCCTTCAAGACGAGGTTTCCTGTTTCAAGGAGCTCGGCAACGGCGCCGGGCGAACCCGAGGAGGAAGACCAGATGACTGCACCATCACCGCCAGACAGGGAAAGCTTTCCTTCGGTGCTTACGCTGAGGGCTCCGGGAAACGTGGTGATAGGGCTTTCTCTGTTGGCGACCCAGACGATCGTCCTCTCGGGGATGTTAGCGTACCATATGCCCAGGTACCGCCTACTACCGCCGCCCGCGGGGAAGAAGCCGAGCTGGAAGCTGCCGCCGGCAGAGAGGAGAGTTTCGTTTTCCCTGAGTTGCTCGCCGGGCTTTAGGACGGCAGCGGCCGCCGTGGAGAAGAAGAGATTGCAGAGCAGAGGAAGGAAGAAGACGAGAGGAGGGAGGAGGCTCTGCCGACCACACATGACGTTCTCCAGTGCGCGTGCGGTCTGGGGAGGCGAAAACGCAGATCCTTGTTCATATACCCATACTGATTGACGTCTGATTTCTTCTGTGGGTCCTACGAAAATTTGGAGAAGTCAGAGGGTATGACGACGCGTCCTTAACGTGGGAAAGGATACCAAACGGAACACCGTGTGGTCAGGGCCTCCCAATGTCACGCGTTTGAAACTTGTGACTATTCAACCCAGCCTTCCTTTCTCTACGAAGCAGGTATGAATGTTGGTGACGTGGAGCGGCAGGAACACATATTATTTAGCTCCTGTCGACATAAAAACTAACCCAGATCCCATCTTTTCGATTATGGGCCCCGGAGTGGACCCAAGGGCAGTATAATTGAAAAATCATTTAAGGCCTAGCGCTGAGATGATCATCAATGATTCTTGGTGACTACGGATGATGGCGTTGGGAGGAGTGAGAAGGTGCCTTGGTAAACACAAGCTTAGGTTAAAGTGGAGGTGGCGTAAAACATTCATTAGTGAAAGGGAATAAATTTTACACGCGGGGCCCTTGGTGGGCCAACTTCTATGAAGCCCACAAAAGGGGAAGTGGGATTTGATGGAGGTTGGAGTCCATGGGAGGCTTTCAGGGTACATGGCACAATAACACCTTTTTAAGAACTGGAAAAGACATAGATGATGCTTTTATTTTCCTCCTGAATTTTACCTTTAACACCAATAGATGGAGAAATAGTCAACCTAACATACTCATGTTACTATGTAGTATATGTCACATAAGTAGCTCAATCAAGTGATAAAATGTGCTAACCAATAATAAAAATAAAAGATGGGACAATTGTGTAACTTTACTTTATATGTGATATGGAGTGCAATGAAAAATAGTAGTCTCATTTCCTACTATGCTGAAAATGAAACAAATGTTATATATCCTTCTTATTCTTATTGTTAAGCATTTAGATGTAGATAAATACAAATGAGAAGAAAAATTGGCCATAAATATGATCTTCTTATACTAATGTTTAGATGTTTTGCCTTAGTGAAGAATTTTATAAGTCAAGGGGTTGAGTTGTTTATAGTACTTCATGTGGTCTTTAGTATATAATATATATTAAGAGATGGGTGACTTAGTTTTTGAAGGATTTAATGAGGCTAGGTGAAACACAAGGGAGGAGAGGGAGTGACATGCTTTAATTTTTGTATAATAAATCATGTAAATTTAAAAATTATAAAATTAGAAAATATGATTTTTTAGATTTTTAGAAGTATTTCAACACAAAAATATTAGTTATAACTCAGTAAAAGGCTCTTAAAATAGTGAAAAAAAATTAAGTCGATCACAAGGATGTAAAATAATATTAGATAAAATTCAAATTATTTCTCAAATAATATGATTTCTTATGATTTTTAGACTAAATGATGAAGAGAAAATGATGGTGAGCGAGACCCATCTCCATCAGCTCAGGAGACACCGGCAGTCCGAGTTCAGCCCAATCGACACACGAAGACGAAGGAGCCTGGCTTTCACTACACGGCCTAGCCCTTCGAGACAATGATATTCCACCTCCGCGACGATGACGAGCTCAAGTTCACCCGTATCTTTCTTTGTATTTTCACGTTGACGTGTTGGGCCTCGCATTTGTGTGTTGGCAGGCCCAATTCTATGTGTGTGTTGTTTGTGTCTCCCTTTCTTTAGGGTTTTATTGGGTCTCTCTTTTGAGGCCCAATTAAAACCCTAAGGGGGGGGGGGACCTATGTGTCTTTCCTTTTGGGCCTCTTTTGGGGCTTATTTGAGTCTTCATTTGAAGCCCACTTAAGCACCGTAAGAGGGCCCTCCTCTTTCTCCTTTTAGGGGAGCTTATTGGGTCTCTCTTAAGAGGCCCAATAAGCCCCTTTTGTAGCCTTTTGTGGCTTATGGGCTTGAGGGCCTCAAGTGGGCCCACCTCCCCTTAGCCCACTTGTGGGCCCCATATAAGGGGAGGTAGGACCCCCCCCTCAAGGGAGCGCCGTATTTTTGAGAGAGATTATCGTTTTGTGAGTACCTTCTCCGTGATATAAGATAGGGAGGGAAGAAGGAAGAGGAAGGCCGTCGATACCCCCTTAGAGGACTTCGTTCCTCGTGACGCTGCTGCCCGAGAAGTCCCCCCGCCGCCTGAGACTACTGCCGCCGCCGGCCATCTCATTGCCGCCCGGGAGCTCGCCGCCGTCACCGGACGAAACGGTCGCGGTTGCCGCTGCAGCCGCCGCCGCCTCTGCTGGAACCCCGTCACGCCGTCGTGACGAAAGGGGCTCGCTTCGCCTCCCTACGAGCCGTCGCCGAGCACTCCGCCGGAGTCTCTCGACTCCTGGTTCGACTGCCGCCTCTTCCTCCGGAACTCCACCATAAACTCGCCGGAGCCGCCCTCCGCCGCTCCGCCCAGTCGCTGGCCGTTCGCCGACGAACGCCGACCTGCCGCCGACGTCGGAAGAGACCCTGCTGCCGTGCCGACCAGCCAGATCCAGTCCAAGCTCCACACAGGCCCCCGCCGGAGTTTCCCGACGATCCGCCGCCGTCGCGCCGTTTCCGGCGCCGCCTAGACCAGGAGGGCTCAACCCTCCCTAGTATCGCCGGCCGGATCGTCTCCTTGCTCTGCTCCGCTTCCCGGCGCCGCCAGAGAAGGCCGACCCTTCCGGCGACGGTTGGTTTGCCGCCCAACCGCCGACGTTCGGCATTCTCGCCGAAGCGCCGCTGACGCTCGGCCTTCCCGCCGAAGCGCCGCTGACGCTCGGCCTTCCCGCCGCCGCGCGCGCCCCGCGCGCCGGTTCCTGCGGCCCGCGACCCGGCGCCACTGCCCGCGTGCCCTAGGGCACGCCGCGCGGCTTGCCGCGCGCGCCCGCTAGCGTGCCCTTCGGCCCACCTGCAGGCCCACGCCCACGCCGACTGTGCCACGCCCTAAGACGACGACTTCCGCGACTCTCGACCAGGACCGACCGTCGACGCTGAGCATCGCTCTTCACCGGACGTCTCTGCCTTCGTCGAATCTCCGCTCTGTCACGACCCGCCGGGCTACGCAGCCCTGAAGGTTAGCTTTGTACCCGTTCCTCTTAAGTTTAATTATCTCTCGAAGGGTTTTCTCGGCTCGTCTCCACCGCCATCAGGAGAACGTAGACAGGATAGGACGGTTATCGGATCGTGACTTCCGACGCTGTGCTAGATTCGTCACCGATTGTGAGCTGCAGCCCTAGGCTACCTCATGACGACTGTTCTGCCGTCTGTCCGGACGTGGACCGAGAGGGCCTCACACTTACCATCGTCGAGTGTTTCCCCGAGTTGTTCTGGGTTGATCATGCATATTGGTACGCCTGCCTGTACTTAGGTTACATAGTCAAACCTAGAGTCTAGGGTCCATACATTCTGATCGGATCGGTCCGACTACCTCATCTCGGCTCGTGAGTTTCATTGATCAAGTACAAAGGTTCTCGCCCCGTCCTACATCAGAAAAAAAATTTAGGTGAGGACGTCAAGATGACATCAACACCTTGATGAATGCAATTCAAACTAAAATAGATTTCACTTGATGATTCTTACATAAATAATTAAAAATAATTTAATTAATCAAATTAAGATACATAAAAGTCAAGATAATTATAATTAATTAAAGAAGAGTTTTAAAATTTTAAATTACACGAAATATCAATTAATAAATAATTAAATTTAAAGTAGAAAAGATAGAGTCTAAAATTCTAAACATTATGGTGGTGATTGTCAAAATTCTAAGCATTAAGGTGAAGTATTTTTGTGCAATGTCTACATCTTCAAAAGCTCTTCTTAGATATTCATGATGTGGGTAATTTCTAAATCCTCTTGTGAAGTCAAAAATTGATGAGATTAGTCAATGAATTATCTCTAGCGGTTATCACTCAACAAAGTAGAAATTCAGTGGTGTTTGGATTTCCAACAATTGTCATCTAGCAAAGACAAGTTAGATAAAAGTCAAGTGCATCTCAAGGAGCTTCTTCCATAAGTATATGCAATAAGATGAACCTCTTTATTGCATTTAATACATTCTAGAGAGGTGATGACTCGTCTCTCAACATATCATATTGTTCTTGACGATAGCTCATTTGTTGATCAATTAGAGATAATTTTTTCAAGAATTTCTAATTTTTGTATTCAAATTTCTTAATCAATGATTAATGATGATTTACAAAGAGTGTTAACGAAATTTTCATCAATGACTTGATTGTTGGCCAAAGCTCTATAGAAAAATTATGAGTTAAATAGATAAAAACTTAAATTTTGGTTATTGTGAGATTCAAATCTTTGCTAGTTGCTTGACTATATGAGAGAGAGTTAGTAAATTACTCAAATACCCTTGACTTAGTGACATTATGATGTGTTTTCTTCTAATAATGTAAGGGTATTCTTGGTACTAAATATTTAAAACTTGGTGGTAAATGTTGGCATAAGTTTAGCCTCACATTAGTTATTTTTTAAAGTATGACATGAATATATATTTGTACCTCTTTTTGTCATCAAATTCTCTTTCCTAGAAACAAAATGGCTAAGACCACTTAAGAGGAAGGCTAAGCTAGGTGGTGCACCCCCACATACACACGTGTACAACCACTCCATGCCCAATGCCCAACTAGCCCCTATTGATGTGGTAAAGGAGTGACATGCATGTGCTCTAGAGGGTCCTTAAGCCACTTGAGGCCTCGGCTCATAACTGTGCTTCCAACTCGTGTGTGGGTCCCTCTTTTTTCTATTTTTTTCTATTTATCATTATTTTTTCATTTCATTTGAAAAATATGAATATAAAAAATATATAAATTAAAAAAATGATATAATTAGCGAAATATTTAAATTAATCAGCTAAAATCTTATTTTCTCAATTTAACACAAATAAAAGTCTATTTATCATGAGTTAAAGCTTAAAATATATTATTAAATAATTATTAATTCATGATAATGAAGACTTATTAGGTGGTGAATTGATTTTCCACCATTAGTCTACTTTTGTCTTCTG